TCTACCACCAATGGAGCTAGGCGCGGGGAGAAACGCAGGATGGGGTGGTAGAATTTTTCATGAAAATTAGCCGGCCGCGCCGGTGTCATTTTCCCTCCCTCGCGGAGAATTCAATTTCTGGAATCCGCCGCGATATGATTTTCCCCGGGACGATGCGACGGACCTTCGATGCGCCCGATCTCTCCGTGATTCATTTTTAATTTGATCCGCGTTAAGCCGCTCCAGACCGATGTACTGGGTGGCATGCTTGGAAATTGTACCGTGTTCTCCTATGGAGATCTGAAAATTTGCGGGAATTGGGCGCGATTCGCCGTGGGAAATTTCGGAAATTGGGCATACTTGGGCGCATTGGACTCGACGTTTCTTCGGACCTTTTGGGCCGTGTAATTCGAACTCGGTGAAATTTTCATTTCGGTTATTAAATTTAACAGAGTGAAGTTTAACACACTTGATTAATTTTTTTGCTACCAGTTTTGCTTTCAGTTTTAATGTTTTAACGGATGCTTGTTATGTGCTTGTGTTTCTTTGTCAAGGTTCTATTGAACCCTTTAGTTTGCATTCAAATTGTGTATCTTCATTTTTATTGCTTTATTTTATCCTAAGTTTACGACGCGGCCGACACATCTGCTATTTCTGAGGATTGCGGTAAAGGACGCTTGTGAACTATTATACTCTTGTAAGAACACTCTTTTGTACGTTATTAACCCTTAAGAATTTCTGTGTACATATATTATTGTTACGTAAAAATCTGTTTGCTCAGTACTCGGCTTCACGAATCGTGTGGGAGCCAACGATAGTTTTTCTATGGAAAATTTTTAAAATAAACTTTCGTCGAGATAGTTTAATGATTTAGTCTTCCCATGCAAAATGTTTGGAACAAATTTTCATTTAAACAGTCTTTCTACGCGGAATTTTTCGAATAAATGGTACATCTCTAAATGATATTTGCACGAACGATAACAGAATGGAGGTAGACGAGAGACTTTCTAATCCCGGCTAGCATTTAACTCAAACGTGCCTATCCTAAGCGAAGCTCCCGATGCTTTCATCAAACACCCCTCTCACCGTGAAAGGAACCCTTTTCTTCCGTCCTTTGAATCGGGAACATCGATCTGTGTACATCTCTCTATCCCGAAAAAAGCCGGCGTTTTGTCTGGAAAGAGACGCGAAAGGATCGAGAATCGGAGTCGCGAATGTTGAATTCCACGAGCGTGGAGTAGAAATCCGCTCCAGTTGCGTCGGTTTTTCACGCTCCTCGGGCATTAAAGGGGATGAATCGAGGCGCGTGACACAGATTTAGATAAAAGTGTTGTAGCCTCGCCGTTCGGACCCCTAGGGCCCAAGGCTTAAGCATGGAATTATAGAATTAGAATCGACTAGATCGCGATATCCCTTTATCGTTCTACACCACTGCTTTTTCTAGGGGATGATGTATATACAGTTGCTACCAAAAATATTCAGACACTGAGTGTGTTTGATTTCTTTTAGCTATGGTTCTTGGTTAAGTATGAATGGATTAGGGCGATGCTGCTTTTGGTGTGAAAGGGGTGTTTATTGTAACTTAGAGTGTAAGACGTGTGTTGGGTCGTCTCATAAGTTCGGGCCGAACGCGGAGGATCGAAGGAAATTCTATGGCGACGATATAACGGGCTTCTTCGCGTTTTCTTCTTGTTTTCATTTTTAAATTTGAGTGTTTCTCGGAAATATCGATCTAAACTATAAAATTCGACGCGAACTCGTGGAATGACCTAATACACACGAGTTAGGATATAAGGATTAGAATATAAGCGTTAGAGTACTTTGCACGATCTAAAATAAGCGGCAGGATATAAGCGTAAGAGTAGTGCGAAAACTAAGCTAGGCGTTACATCGTAAGACTTTAGAATACCGTAGATATATGTAACACAGGTTACACCGATCAACTGATAACACTTCAGCAGTCTCTTAATTAGTTTTTACACTAGAAAATTAGTATATCGAAGAAGACACACCGCCGTCGACAGAATATCTCCAATATTAGAAATACTTTTACCTGGACAGCGTTTAATAGTAAGTCAGTTTCGGAAAATTTTTGGAAGCAACTGTATATGTATTTGGTTCTTTTTCCATCGGTCGACGAGCGAAAAGGAGCGTGTGGACGCGGGTGAAAAGGGGACGTAGGGGGTGGAACATCGGGCGTATAGGTGAGCGGAACGCGTTCGAACGGGAAAAAGGGGGTGAAAATGGGCGGAGGTGGTTCCGAGGAATAAATCCGCTCATGCTCGACGTACACGCGCCGGTAGAAACGACGTCCGCCTAGTACGTACACCCGCGGGATTTCCATAATTTGAATTGTAAAAGTATTCGGCCGCCAATTGCAGCCTCCGAATTTATGCAGTCCGCCCCCGTACCGGCTATCCGTCCGCGACGCCCCTTGAGGGGGACTTCACACGAGACCGAATATTGACGCGTGCCACGGACTATCGTCTTTTATCCTGAGCACCGGGGTGCCTTTTTGTTTCGGTGTGTGGCGTGATTTTTAGGACTGCGGAGGTATTTTGGGGATTTTTGGGATTCTTGGGAGGGTTGATGAGGGATTGGGAAAGTGGTTTGGTAATGGGATTATGCTATTTTTGAGATTAAGGTTTGAATACGCGTTTAATGTTTCGTTTGCTCCAAACCTCTCGTAAAAGCGGAGAATTTGGAGTTTTCT